GGGCTTAAGCGATTCTCTTGCCTCAGCCTCCCAAGTTGCTGGGACTACAGGCACCCGCCACAACACCCGGCTGTTTTTAGAGACGATGTCTGTCTCTGGCTCAGGCTGGTCTGGAACCTGTGAGCTCAGGCAATCCACCTGCCTCCGCCTCCCAACCGCAGGGATTACAGACGTGAGCCACCGCGCCCAGCCAGCACATACTGTTTTATTCCTTACCACCTGCCTATGAAATAAGTGGTGTCATTACCCTCTCTTTACCAGAACACTAAGGCTAATTTTTTTCTCACTTTTTTACATTGAAGTGCAATTCACATCCCAAAAATGAAGCTTTTTTTTTTTTGAGACAGACTCTTACTATGTCACTCTCGGTAAAGTGTCATGGCGTCACAGCTCACAGCAACCTCAAACTCTTGGACTCAAGCGATTCACTTGCCTCAGCCTCCCTAGTAGCTGGAACTACAGGTGCCCGCCACAGCGCCTGGCTATTTTTGTGGTTGTTGTTGTTGCACTTGTCATTGTTGGTTAGCGGCCCTGGCTGGGTTCGAACCTGCCAACTTTGGTGTATGTGGCTGGCGCCAAGACAAAAAAAAAGCATTTTTAAACTTAAACTGGAATTTCATTTATTATGAGTAGGGAGACAATAAAATTTATCATTCGAATAAGAAATTTTTGAGACTAAAGATTACACTAGTCATAATTTTGCTGAAGAAGCACATGTCAACAACCACTGTCTCAGGGAAACGGGATAGATGGTTACCCTAAACACGATGGAGTCAGAGCATTCATTAAATGGCCATTTGAAAAATGAACCATTTTACAATAAACAATTCAGGGGTAATTAGTACATTTACAATGTTGAACAATCAGCACTTCTAATTTCAAAACATTTTTATCACCCCCAAAGAAACCCAATGCCATTAAGCAGTTGCTGCCCATGACCTTACTTCCCCCAGCCCCTGGAAGTCACCATCTGTGTTATATCCCTATGAATTTACCTATTCTGGATTTTTCACATAAATGGGACGTGTAAACTTTGTGCCTGGCTTCTTCCACTTAGCTTAATGTTTTCAAGGTTCATCCACATTATAGCGAGTATCAACCTTAATTCCTTTCTGTGGCTAAAATAATATTCCATTGCATGGCTATAACGCCTTTTGTTTATCTGGTTGTTGATGCTTATCTGGGCTGATTTCACCTTTTTGCTATGGTGAGTAGTGCTGTTGTGCACATGTGTGTACATGTCTTTGTTTGCATCCCAGTTTTCAGTTCTCTTGGAGACACAGACCTAGGAGCTGGGTCATATGGTAATCCTATGTCTAGCTTTTTCAGGACCCACCAAACTGTTTTTCATAGCAGCCGCACCATTTTCCATTTCCATCAGCAATTATGAGGGTTCCAATTTCTCTGCCTCCTTGCCAACACTTGTTATTTTTCCAATTTTGTCATATTGTAGTCATCCTAGTGGGTGTAAAGTTCTACTGAGGCTGGTTTTTAAAGTGAATTTTAAAGAAAATATTAAGAGACTAATAGCATGGCACTATGTGGATAGAGTGTGTGAGACTGGGAGAGAGCCCAGGGCGAGGCTTTGCACCCTACACAGCCTCCTTTCAATACCAATACCCCTCAGTTACCCGAACCCCAGCAAATCTTTTCTATCCCCAGCCTCAAGGTGAGCTCCAGGCCATCTTCTTTAGGGCAAATCTCCTCACTCAGAGGGCCATCATCTTGTCTCTCACCTTAATACCAAGAGACTGACTTCACAGCCTCAGTGTCCTTCACAGGCTCTGTCATGGCCTTGTGCCCTTGAACTTCCAGGATCAGCAGGGCTTTCAGGGCTGACCATCCACAAAAACCAAAATATTGAACTAAGTGTCATGGGACAAACTTCTCTTGAACATGAGTTTGATTAACCTTTGTCCCTACTTTTCTCAACATGGGAGAGATTGTAGAGAGCTACCAAATCCATTGTTCTATTGAAATGTGCGTTGACCCTGCTGGCCTAGGTATAGCCACACACCTGAATTTCACCAATGGAATGTGAATGATTGTGATGCACGCAACTTCTGTCCCACCTGCATAATGAAAAGATGCTTCCTTGGTTTGGGCTTTTTCTCTCTTTTCCTTCCACACCCATGGTATTAGCTTCAACCAAGGAGATAAGAGGACACCCTAGGGGGTGGCAAAGCCACAAGTTGGAAGGCGCCTGAGTCCCTGAACAACTTCAGGGAGCAGGGATTCCCCCAACAACCTGGACTCTTCCCCATGGGACAGTTGCACTACAGAAGAATAAACTACGTCCTATAAGCTGCTAGCGTGGGGTCTCTTCTAGCTTAATCTTTCTCTACTAAAACAATGGTAATGGAGGCATATAAGACACGGAAGTTCTAATTAACAACAGAGGCAGCTGTGTTGTCAGACTGTCTCATTTCCCACTCTAGAAAGGGAAGAGGGACACTGAATGGTACATGAGCACTGTCATGAGACGCCAAGAATCTCAAGTCTCAGGGTCTGCTAGTATTCCTAGCCATATCAAATCATCTTTTCTTGTTGCCTCAGACAGTAGAATAACACAGGTTATTCTACTTCCATCACAGACTTCAAAGTGTGTGCTTTTATCTGTTATAATTCTTTCCAAAATGTTTAGAAAATTGCTTCCATTTGCCACTTTGTTGCATCTGCTTTCTTTTTTGAGGATTGAGTTAATTGGGGGAGGGTTCTTTGATAATCACCTTTTAAATTTCAAATATAAGAGTTTCCTATAATGATGCCTTTTTAATTTGAACCTCTAGATCAGAATTAGGAAACTATGGCCACTGCTATTTTTTTGTTCTGCTTTCTTTTTATTTCTTTATTGTAGTAAAATGCACTTAACAAAATTTACCATCTAAACCATTTTAACAAATCAGTGATATTAAATGTATTTATAACATTGTGCAACTATAATCATCATTGATCTCCATATCTCTTCTCATCTGGTAAAACTGGAACTCTCTCTTAAACAACTCCCCATGCCCTTTATCCCTGACAACCAGCCTTCGACTTTTGTCTAGATGATTTTGACTTTTCTAACTAACCCGTAAGTGGAATCACAAAGTTTTGTCTGTGTCTGGCTTATTTCATTTTGCATAATGTCCTCAGGATTCATCCATGTTGTAGCATACGTCAATGTCTTCCTTTCTGAAGGCTGAATACTATTCTATGTATTTACCACATTTGTATTTATCCATTCATCTATTGACTTTATCTGTTTAGTCATATACTTCTTAATGCTCTTTTAACATTCTGCCTATTTAACTGCAGGAAGTGTAGCTGCAGGCTGTGATCATCTGAACAAAAGCCCAACTGTTACTCTGCCAAATCTTCCTGCTCTGGGCTCTCAGGACTGCTCTGTTTGAGGAACCTGCTCATCAGACATTAACCATGAGTCACGCTCCTTTGGGGGTGGCAATAGCCAATGCCCACACCCCCTTCTGACCTCCGACATTGCTATACTGTGGCCCAGCAAACTGGGCTTTCCCATCTCAGGTAGTTATTCAAAGGATGGCTAGCACCTATTAAATGCTTAAGTTAGGGAGAGCTACTTACTCATTTCCAAGGCCCATAAAATCTCGGAATGTTACACTGTATCTTCTCTGCTTAATATAACTATATCCAGAGTTTTAAATCCAAATGATGGCTATAGACATTGGCAGAGTCTTCCTTAGGGAGAATTCTTTCTAATTTCCAAACTTCTGGAAGATTTACTGTATGTCAGGCACTCTGATAGGTATCAGAGATTACAAAGAGTCCAATAAGACATGGATTTCCTCTTTAATAAATTTGTGACTGAGTTGGAGTGAAAAACAAGTACAATAACAATTATAACACAGTGAACTCTATTTTATTGAGAAATGTCATGAGGAGAGATATCTAGATCAGGGAAAGCTTTCGGAAGAGGGTAAGAGAAGATATTCCACCTTGGGACTGCTCAGCCCCCATCCCACAAGCCGACTTCCTCTCTGAACCACACAACACACAGTTTTATTACACATGGCCTACAGGAACATTCCATGACACTGAGTGAATGAGGCCAGGCACAGATGGACTGCCCTTCTATAAAAATCCATGGTCAAGGCTCGGCGCCTATAGCTCAACCGGCTAAGGCGCCAGCCACG